TAAAACGAGTTCAGGGTGAATAGCAGCAACAGCGGCCCATGGCGGCGGAGTCCGATGGAGGAATGCACTCCCCGACGGTCCAGCCACGTGGCAAGCACGTGTTTCGGCACTGAGTGGTTGAAATCTGGTTCATCGGATCACAAACCACCTCGGTACAATGTTTGATACCGTCCCAAGCGGGGGGTTCGGTGCCGATAACGTCCCTTGTGGCGGACGCGATCGTGGTCGTCAAAACTAGAATAACGGCCATGAATTCCATTATCTTCTGCATGTTTTTCTCCATATTTTTCTCTTCTTTTTTTTCTTCTTTTTTGAAATTTAACAACTTAAGAACAGTTTTTATAGCTGATAAGTATGGTTACGTTGTAAGGAAGGAATTAAATGAAAGGAAAGAAAATCAAATTTAGGCATTTAGTTTTGGTATCCTCTTTACCTCTTATATTTTGCCATATAAACTTCAATTTTTGTTTTAAGTTTTGATCTAAATTATTACTCCTTCCCTCTGAAATCTTTTATATATAAATTTGAGAGTTCAATCTCTAAAAACTTGACATGTAGCATATCAAAAACTTCACATGAAGCATCTTAAAAACTTGACATGTGGCATATTTAAGTGAAAATTAAACCAAAGTTACACTTTTCAATTATGGGCTAATAGCATGAGTGTCCCCACGTGGGTTACAAAAAAGGCGTCAAAACCTTCTTTATTTTTAAAATTAATTTGTAAAATCCCTATGATTTCTAAATAGAGTACAGATGCCTCCTTACATATTTTTAGAGTTAATATGACATTTATGCCCCTTAGCTTCTTTTCCTTTATCTTAAATTTCCACTTTTTATTTTCCATAATTCAATAAATATTATAAATATACGCTCTTCATCTCAAATTAAAAATTTTCATTTATGTAGTTTAAAAAAAAATTGGATAATGTTATTAAGAAAATAAAAAATAAAAAATTAAATAAAATATTATGTACGAAGTAGAAGAAAAAAAATAATTGAAAAAGATAATGAAAAGAAAGAAAAAAATAAAGAAGAGGCTAAAAACAAAGAATAATCAGGCTTGGATGGCTAAAACCCAAAGTTCATCAAAGAAGAGGTGAGTTTAGCAAACCAACATCGTGGGGCTTGACGAAGACCGTAGAGAGATTTATAAGGATTGCAAACTAGCCCATTACCATAGGGAAACAAAAAACCTAGAGGAAGAGTCATGTAAATTTCATCCGCAAATCACCATTGAAGAAAGAATTGTGAAAGTCCATTTGGTGTAGATACTAGTTGCGGGCAACAACAACTGTTAACAGAGTTTGCACAGTAACTAGTTTAGCCGCAGGAGCAAAAGTTTCTTTGAAATCAATTCTTTTTTTATGCCAGTTGCTAAGGACCACCAATCAAGCCTTGTAACGCTCAATGCTCCCATCAGATTTGTGTTTGATTTTATATACCCATTTGGATCCTATTGTTTTCTTACTGGGAGGTAGGGGAACAAGAGACCAAGTTCCATCAGCTTCTAGTGCCCGAATTTCCTCCTTCATAGCTTGTGCCTACAGTCTGTTTTTTGCCGCCTTAGAAAAGAATGTAGGTTCAACATCTGCACTAATAGCTTCGAAAAAAAACATCTATGGGAAGCAGTACAATTTGTAATACAATGTGTTGTACCTGAAGCCGACCAGGGTTTATGTAAATAACAATAGAAACTTTGAATGGTGTGACTGACAAAGTCACGAAGCCGTGATGGAGGACAACATTCTCTTTCACTTCGGTGCAAAGGTTATTGGGTTAGAAGAGTTTGGTTTTCAATGGAGGAAGGACGGTCTAGAAGGATTCAAGGAGTGTAGTGGAGCACAATCGATCGGAGGCTAGATAATGGTCGAGGGCTTCAACCGCCTGAGAGGCAGTGTTTGTTTCAGAGGCATGGTTGGGAGACGGCCAACCGTTTATGGGAGAACGGTCGGGTTCTTCGACCGTTGGGGGCAAATTTGAGGGTGAGGTGGATATTTCTTTGTCGCACAAATCAACGATGGGTTCTGGTTCAAAAAGACGGGTGTGTTATGAGAAATGAAGGGAATGTGACTTTCAAAGAATTTGACATCGCAACTTACAAAAATCTTGTTTGTGTCTAAGTCGAGAAGACTCCACCCCTTTTGTCCAAACGGATAGCCAAGAAATACACAACGATGAGATCGACTGGCAAATTTGTCTCCATTGCGGGTTTGATTGTGGGCATAGGCAAGACATCCATATACTAGAATATGGTTGTATGAGGGGATTTTTCCATATATCACTGAATATGGTGTCTCGCTTTTGTGTAAGTTAGAAGGTGTACAGTTAACAAGGTAAGTGGTGGTAAGTATACAGTCACCCTAGAATTTGAGAGAAAGATTGGCTTGAAAATGGAGTGCTCTGGAAATGTTGAGGGTGTGATGGTGTTTTCACTCGACTCGACCATTCTGTTGAGGGGTGCTAGCACAAGAGGATTCAAAAATTATGCCATGATTGTCAAAAAAGGTTTTAAACAAGTGAATTCTGTACCATTGTCACTACGCACGACCTTGACTTTTTTACTAAATTGATGCTCAATCATAGGAAAGAAATTATGAAGAACAATAGGTGCTTCCTATTTGTGATTTAATAAACACCCATATTGCTCAAGAAAAATCATCAACAATTGTGAAGAAATATCTTGCTCCAGTATGAGAAGGAGTACAATAACCACCCCTTAAATCACAATGAATCAAAGCAAAAGGAATATCAGATTTATTCAAACTAATTGGGAAAGAGTCACGACATTGTTTTGAGCAAAAACATGTATCACAAAGCAAACCAGAATCATTGGAATTATTGACAATGGTGTAAGAAGGATGACCCAAATGCTTATGCCAAATGTCCAGATCCTTCACCTTTTTCACGCTGCAAACTTTCTCCTTCACACCTTTCTTGAGATAGTAAAGTCCTTCAACTTGTTCACTCATTCCAATCATCATCTTTGAGATATAGTCCTGTATAATATAAACTTTATTATCAAATCATTCAAGACTACATTCTCTCTTTATTTGGCTATAGCACAATCGCCATTGGGTAGACTAAGAGAACAAGGCTTTATTGCTTTCAATTTTTCAAAACACCTCTCATTGCCGGTCATATGTTGACTAGCACCGCTATCAATAATCCAAGAGGTGTTAGGCATATATGAAAATTTATTCTCCATACCCGAATCTTTGTCGTTTAGAAGTCCCATAAGAGAGTTCCATTGATTAGTTGTGAGGAATCATAGGTTCGGATTCGTATATCCTCGTCCTCCTTATGTCGTGTTAGCCTGAGTTGTTAGACTCGCTGAACAACCACCTCCATTCTTATTGCCACAGCCCCCTGCCACCGCGACATCCTCCAGAACCACCACGATTATCTATGTGCCCTGGGTTTAAGACATGTGGGTGATCTCCCCATAATTCTGAATATCCAACAAGTTGGAAACAACCACTCTTGTCGTGTATGCTTAGCCCACATTGTTTGCATTTCAATTCCTTATTTGCTTTACGATCATATTTAGAGGTGATGACAAAACTTACTATATTTCATTCTTCTTCATGTGTAATCTTCAGGACTCCTTGTTGGATGATGATTGATTACACACGATTCAATGGTGCCAGGGGCTCACTGCCTATGATGTTGGATCTCAGAATTCCATATCCTTGTTATCCAATCACATTAGGAATTGATGAAATTTTTCTTTATCTCATTGTATGGAGAGAGCGTTGCTTATGCCACACTTGCAACCATGACACTTGCACATAGGAATCTTTTCATGATCACCGAGTTCATCCCATATCACTTTTGGTTTTCCAAAGTATGTAACAATGGACTGCTAGTTTTGCTTACAATTTACAAGTTCTTTCTTTAGATAATGGATATGAGGACTGTTTGTGAAAGAAAAGCGATCCTTTATACCCATCCAGAGTTCTGCAACCTGCGTGATGGAATTTCTCAAGCTTCCATCAATGGTATTGTAAAGCCATGAGACCAACATTGATGGGTGTATTCTCACCCGGAACACATACTGGGCCCATTGAAAAGTTTACCCAGGTGAATCGTAACCATTCTAGAAGTCTTCCGGAACAAAATATTATGAATTCGACCAGGTGGGGTCTAACCACCCTCGTAAAACATGGTTACTTCATCAATTATCAGTCCAATTCAGGAAAACGTAAAACTCATGAACCACCAGGGTGATTTTTCAGGAAAGATCACCCGAGCAACCTATCAGGGATAGCCCAAATCTTCAGGTCAGCGTGTTTTAGAAGGTAGCATTTGGAGAGAATCAGATCCTTTGCACCGACTAGCATTTCCAAATGCTACAAGACAAAGCACAGTGAGATATCAATCAAGGAAGAAGACAAAACAATACAAGACACAGATGAGTCACTTCCTCACATGGGTAAACAGTGGCGAACAGTGCTCTATCTCCCCCTCTAACGCTATAAATACCATGCGTAACCCCAAAAGAGTGGATCTGAATTCTCTCACTATAAAGCTCTTGTATACTTCTTCCCTGTACTCTTGCCTATATTCAATAACAATCAGACTACAGATGTTCGACATACAGTTTTCCTGCTCAACACTTGTTTACTATGTCCTTTGTTTATTTTACCTTAGTAAGTCACCCTACACCTTGTCTAGAGCAGTTTGCCCGGTGAGTAATTTACACCATCAAACATGGCATTTACTATCCACCATTCTTCATAGTTTTTGTTTCTCTTTTAGACAAGGGATGAATCAATCAATGAGTCTAATTATCCGTTTTGCATGGAACGCAATCCTCATCGCTCAAGCCCACTCTTCATAATTATCACTATTTAATTTGACTTGGGTGATAATTAATCCGAGTGTTTCAACGTTCTTGAATTCATAAGAGCTTCCCTTCGTTGTGGCTTTCTCTTCATCGTCAAAAAGTTTCCCAGTGATGGGCTCCTTAGCTTTTGTCATTGTGACAGCTGTCGACAGGTGGACATGCAGTCAGCTTTCTAGGGTCAGAAATTCCCTAGGTTCGTTTGCTCTGATATCAAGCATTCAAGCCTAAGGGTGGGCAAATGGGTCAAGGAACCGCGAGTCGGAACAGAACCGACAGGTTCGTTCCGGGTTAGGGGCGAGTCCTCTTTTCAAATATTTATAATGGGCCGGGCCGGGTCGGTCCTTATAGGTTTTAGGGTCGGTCCTTATAGGTTTTAGGGTCGGTCCGGTTCTCCATTTTGAAATTGTCTAGGACCCAGACGAGACTGTTTTTTAATACTCCGTATTATTATTAGGTATTACACCGGGAACAAAGCCTTACGAGTTATAATGTCAAAATGTGGTTGTGTTCTTTTTTTTGTTGTTGTTGGATGATCATGGAGACGTACACTTTACCGTCATGCCCCTCTTGTACTCTTTACGGTCAGGCTCCTCTTTGTCATTGTTTTGTCTTCATTTAGGTTTTTTTGTGTTGGATGACTTAAAATTGACAATGGGGGTAGTTCATTGTTGTAGACCAATGGTGAATGACCATGTATATATTATTAATTTATTATCACTTTATTTTTTTTATATTAGTATTGTGATAGGTTCAGACCCATTGACTCGTGGAATTGACCCGTTTCAAACAAGTCGGGTTAGGTCCAATTTTAATTTTAAAATTTTAAAAAACCATTCTAACCCGAACCATTTTAATAAAAACAAGCCGAGTCCAATTTATACCAATCTTGGCTCGGACCTGCCCGTGTCTCCTATTCAAGCCTATACGGGCGCAATTTTCATGTTAAAATTGCTGGTCCCTCGTACGCTTTTGGCCAAATGGAACGACATTATGATATAGGGAGGAGTAGACCCCACCGTATATACAATCATACATACGGACTGATGACTCTACGTATGTACCGACTACCGAGTATATCGCACGGTACGCGAATCCTGCGGTGTTTGCATATTTTGTCGCGAAGCATTTAGTGTTCACAGGCGTTTAATCGCCCTCTGGAGAGTATCTGAAGCAGCTTTGAGAGTTGAAACCAAATATTTCTTGGAATCTCTACCTCAAAACCCGGTTTTTTTGCCTTACATTCTTCTTCTTCTTCTTCTTGGCGCCGTCTATTCTTCAACTTGGGTGGAGATTGTTGTGCAAGCCATGGGCACTCCCAACTTGGAAGCAGATAAAATGTGAATATCTCTTTCGTTTTTGTTAAAGAATAACTTTTCTTGAACTTTATAGTGTTATCATTATTGTTAGTGTTTCTTTTGGTTCGCTTCTTTTCTTGCTCCCAAAATGTTGAGTTATTGGGGTTTATGTCGAGACTATTTGGGGTTTTTCTTTTGTGTTTCTGCAATGGGTATATCCCTTTTTCATACACTTCTCTCTTTGTGTAAGGGTTTCTTTGTCTCACTTTAGGATGTGAGGTTAGATTCCATTTACGGAGTATTATTTATCACTATTTATTGTTATTTTATCTGATTTCTGGGTTATTTTTTCCCATCACAGTGAATATGGGCATTTTAGGTTACCCCCCCCCTCACCCCCAATTTTGTGATGTATGGAGTGTGATGTTTATCATTAACATTTTGATGGTAATATAATCGCAGTCTCTTACTTTTTATGTTCTTTCTGTGTGGTGTAACAGGTTAGATGTCTATATATATGATTATCTTGTGAAGAGGAAGATGAATCTTTCTGCAAGGGCATTTTGTGCTGAAGCAGAAGTGCCCGCAGACCGAAAAGGTACAAGAAATTGGGAGAAGTATCTATTAAATTCCTAAATTTGTTCATGTTACATGAGTGTCTAATTCAGTTCAATGTCTGTTTCACTAATAAAACTCTGTCTTTTCCAGCATTTGATACTCCAGGTGGTTTTCTTTTTGAATGGTGGTCAATTTTTTGGGACATTTTCATTGCTAGGTATAGATGCCCTGCTTCAGGATCTAGTTCTTCTCCCAATGAGGTATGGGTGTCGGACTTTAATCCATTCCCATACTATACACATGTTTACACTTGTATATTGACATTGATATTTCATTACATTTGCTGCATGAAGGCATGAAGAAACATGGTTTTTTTGAACCCTAGCATTATCTATAGATTTATCATTTGGTTACGAAGTTTTTCATATTTTGAGGATTGCAGATCGTAATGCTGAAACTACAGGAGCAGCAGCAGCAGCAACAACATCATGGTGTGGGGCAGCAGCAGCAGCTTCAACAATTGCTACTGCAAAAGCATATTGAACAGCAAACACAGAGACAACGAGAAGAGACTCGATATGAATGTGGTGCTGACAATGAAACTCAATCAAGACAAAGCCGTGGGGCGGTGAATGCCCAAACCAACAGTAAATCTTCTTTGCTGGGGCCGAATAGGAAGGTTAGTGAACGACTTAAACCCAGAGCTTTATAATGACTATAGCAACTTATTCTTGTTTCACCTGGCTTATCTGCTACGATCATTTTTCTTGAAGAAGCCCATGCAGTGTAGGACTGGTAGTAATGCTCGTCAGCCTTTGGATCAAAGTTATACAGCGATGTTAACTTCAGGAACACATGGAGATCAACATCCACGGTATATATACATGAATCTTGGCTAACTTTTTTGTGCCTTGAATCTGCTGCCTTGACCACTGTTAATCTTATTCTTCATGTAGTCGTGCAAATCCTGGTGGGAATCAAAGATGTTTTTCTGGGATGAAGGATCAACCAAAGCAGCCTCATATTTCCCATGTAAGTCAGCAACTTGTCAATAGCCCCATGCCTCCAACACACTATGGGGGCAAGATGGGAGCCACACTAATACTGAAATGTTTGTTGCTTGCTGAGTCAGGGCCCAAATAATACATTGAATCCCTTAACATGCCTCAAGTCTGCTGTCTCGGATGATTCTCTAACTCAACTTTATGGTACCAACAGTATTAACTTTCACTTTCACGTACATGTGCATGATCTTGTTCTATCTTTTGGGAAACAGTGTGCGCTGAAACACACAAAATATACTACTTTCTGCTTGTTAATAAAAGCTAATGCACACATACCACGATTCAGGATCAAATCACGGAGTGGGTACTTTGCCTTTGAAGGGTTGGTCACTAACGGTGAGTTCTGTATTTCCCTCCATTTAAACCCGTGAAGCTAATGCATTCATTAATGGGATATATGGTTTAAGAACAAATAGTTGAATACACGGGCTTTAGTCATACTTGTTAAAATGTGATCAAGAAAATAATGACATGCCCTGCTCTTTTGCCTCTAATGATGTGCAAAATATTCAAACCTTATTTGTATATGTAACTATATGCGCTTTGTATTTTTTTCCTCACAAGTTTGTACGGAGTACATGTAAAAGCACAGCTTGGTTACTGCTTAAATTCCATGGTATAGCATGCTTCCATAGTGTAGTTGATGAATTACTTCTTTGGATATTGTACCAAAAAACGTTTTTTTTCATTTGGTTAATTTTATAGGGAGCTGATGATTATTGTCTTAGAAGGTTGAATAAAGTCGTTTCTTTTTCTTCAGTGCCATCATTTATCCCTTTTCTTGCAAAACCAGCACATCAATATGCATGCATATGAATTTAATGGAACAAACCATCCAATGTTAGAACAAAAGAAATATTGTATGCTAAAGTGAAACATACCTTATCCATGATTTGTGGGCTCGTTAATGACCTTGAGTGTGTGATAAAAAATTTCATGAAGAATGTGTGTTTCAATGCCTTCAAGAGCATGATTGACTAAATTTTCTTCAATGATCAGGGATTTGAGCAGCATCAATCTGGACTTTCTCAGCTGCGAAGCCCTTTGGTGCATCCATCTCAACCCTCCCAGCAACTTCAGCTGCAACAGCAAATTCACAGGCTTCTTGGTGATCAGTATATGAATGTCAGGAAAGACACACAACCACATTTTTTGACTGATATGGTTCCCAATGCATTGCCAGTTCAAGCAGGCCTCCCCCTTTTTCCTGGTGCCGATGAAACACTAGTCAAGGTATTCTGTTTCATATTCTCTTTTTTTCTGGTTTGAAACATTTTCTTTTCTTGGAACTAACCAGATTGTTTTGGTATATTTACTAGCTCTATCAGTTAGAATTGGCAAAGGCCAACCGAAGCCAACAACAATATCCAAGGCCTACTGCACTCCGTCAATGCACAGATATTTCGAGATATAAATTTGCACAGCAAGAAAATGCCATTGTTGCAACTAGCAACAGTGCCATTGAGGCAACCTTTTCAAACACTTCAAGAGATAATGATCAGGTTCGTAGTTTCTCCAAAAACTAAATTGGAGAACATAGAAGCACTAACTTGTAACACGTTATGTAATTCTTGAATTTTTTCTCTCGGGGACAAATCTTCAATTTGTTGGTATGCTACTTTTTGGAATGTTGTGGACTTGTGGTAGGCCGTAGGTGCATCATTATTGCATGTCTACCGGAGTTTCGAACATAAGGCTTCATGTGATGGAAACAAAGAATTCCAATTGGTCCATACTCCATACTGCTATGTAACCTTAGTAAATAATTGCAGAATCCCAATCTTGATTCTTTTAGTGCTATTTCTTTATTGACACAGGGAATTACTGTGGAATGGAACAAAATAGTAGAGCTATCTTCTTCTTTTTATCGTCTTCTGACTTTGTTCTATCTTCTGTTATTAAAGAACCCACGTCTAAGAAAAAGGAAGCTACCAATGTCACCAAACCCAACCAGCAGCTCTGGTACAGCAAATACAATTGGACCATCCCAAAGTTCATCACCCTCTTCCCCTTCAACAACCCAACCAACAGAAGATGGGGCTTCAGTACCTTCGCTGCTTCCAGATAGCAAGTCACAGAAATTTTGCAGCAGTGTGCGTGCTGAAACACACGCATCAGTGTCTAATCAGATGGTGAGTAATTATTACATATATTTCTGCATTCTTTGCTTTATGTTTGGTTCGTGGGATTCAAAAGGAAAAGGAAGTGGTTTTTTCTCCTTTTCCTCACCAAAACGGAAGGAAAATCAGTATCCTTCTTCTTGGTGCATTTCTCCTCTCATTTTCTTTTCTTTTCTTCTCTAACCAAACAAAATAAAAGCCATTTTCTCTCTCGTTTTCTTTTCTTTTCTCTTTTAATTTCCTTGAACCAAACATAGTGCTGTGTTGGTGTTTTCAAATCTTTATGTCTTTGTTAATGAATGTTTGATCAGGCTGATATTGTTCGCCTTATGAGTCATGGGTCTGTGGACGACAATGTTGATTCTTTCCTTGATGAAAATGTGGGTGGGTCTGAAGATGTGTCTGCTCAGTGCATGGGTATTACATTCTCAAAAGTTGGAAGCATTGAACCCAATGCGGTCAACTGCTTTGACTTCTCATATGAGGGTGAACTTATAGCAACTGGGGGAGATGATAACAAGGTATCAAATAAGGACAGTTTACTTTGTCTAATGTCAGTAGTCCATAACCTGTTCACAGGGTTAACCTTGTTGCACGGATGGTTTTTTGTTATAGGTTGTCTTATGGTGCACAGATTCCAAGGAGCAGAAGTTTATACTTGAAGAGCACTCTAACAAAATAACAGACGTTCGTTTTAGCCCAAGACTGCCGCTGCTTGCTTCATGTTCCGTGGACAGGATGATTAAAATTTGGGATGTTCATAACGTATGCCAAACTGCATCTTATTTTATTAAACATATTAATAAGTATTTCATGAGTTTTATTATTATTATTATTGTTATCGTTATTATTATTATTATTGATAATTGCATTGACTGATACAGCCAGGGCAGTCAATACGAACCTTTACTGGGCATTCTGCCTCTGTCATCTCAGTTGACTTTAACCCAAAAGACGACAACCTTATCTGCTCTTGTGATGACGCTAGTGCCATTCGGTATTGGAACATAAAAGATGGTTCTTGTGCTGGAATTTCGAAGGTATACACCCCTGCTGGTAATTATTCTCTTTTTCTATTATCTTCATTTCTTTTGTTAACTTTGTACTCCAAAAGCTCAGGCTGTTGCAGCTCAAGTCAGGTACCAGCCTGCTCATGGGATCTTTCTTGCTGCAGCTGTTGGGGATGGTGTGTCATTGATAGATTGTGAAACTAATCAAACCTGCAGATACCCTCTGAAGGTAAATAATTTACCACTTTGTAAAATAATAAGCTTAACACTATATTTGGTTTGGGGGGATTAGAAAGTAAAAGAAAATGCTAAGGAAAAGAAAACCAAAGAAACAAAAAATCCTAATCTTGTTTGGTTAGTAGGAAAATTCATTGAAAATTATTTTCCAATAACTCATTCGTTTGGTTGTTGCAAATATTGAAGGAAAATCATTCTTTTTCATTTCTACTCTATATTTTCCTCACGAAAACTGTTTTTCTTTATAATATTATTTTTCCCTATGAAATTCCTTGAACCAAAGAGAGTGCAAATGATTTTTTAATGCTTCTGAACTAAATTTGAATTAATATATGTTCAGGGGCATGCGTCAAAAGTTCATTGTGTATGCTGGAGCTCTTCCGGGGACTACTTAGCATCTTTGAGTGAAGATTTGGTTAGAGTATGGAAAATTGGCTCCGGTGGAGACCCAAAGTGCATTCATGAGTTGAGCATAACCGGGAAAAGATTCCGGACGTGCAACTTTCATCCAACCCACCCTTCTTTCTTGATTGTCGGTACCCACCAGGTAACCTAGGATTTATTCTATGTTATACATTGAGCAAACCGTTAAAACAAGAAGAGAGTCCATTATGACTATAAATCTACTGGTTTCAGTCCCTGGAGTTTTGGAACATGGCGGAGAACAAGACAATGGCAGTCCTTGAGGAGCCTATCTCTGTATTGGCAAGTTCAACAATTACTGGTTTGGTAGCCTCGTCCAGCTGGGGCAAAACGGTCAAGCTGTGGAAGTGAACATAGGCTTGTTTGGCTTACTGAATTTCTATTCCAGCCTTAACCCTGATGAAGAAAGGTAATGGTTCTGATTGGTATGTTTTGTCCATATATATATATATAGTAATAGATACACGCAAGAAGTTTATCTAGCAGTAGAAAAGTTTGCCTCTCAAGGGCGGTGAACGCGTTTTTGGTGGTCTCTTGTGCTATGTAAAGTTACCGGTACGAAGATATGGAAATCCAAAAAAACACTTTTTTTGTGGGATTTTACTGGGTTTGTTGTTGACTTGTAGTAGCAGCGCATAGGCTTGTTTGGCTTACAGAATTAGTCCAGTGAAAAAGAACTGAATTCCAAACTCAGAAGGAAAAAAAACATAACCAGAAAAACGGTTATCCCATCAAACTAGAACATGCTCCATGGCCTTGTTGAAGTATATAGACTTGATGTTGAGGTACTCGTTCCACGAGATTGGATGATACACGGCCAAGTCACCACTCTTCATCGGCCCAAGTGGGGCTGAAATTTTGACGTCCTTTCTTGGGCCGAAGAAGTAGGCCACCGATATCCGATGATGGGCCTTGCTCACAATGGCCCGATGCAGCACGCTTTTGAACCGTCCATTGGAGACCATCTGCATCAAGTCCCCGACATGAACTGTGATCGCATTGGCAATGGGCTCCACGTCCACCCAATTCATATCGGGCCCTTGGACTTGGAGGCCTTTGCTGGTGTTGGTGTGGTACAGCATGGTGATAAGCGACGAGTCTGTGTGAGGGGCCAGGCCCATTGCACGGGTTGGGTCCGGACATTTTGGGTACGAGTTGAGTTGTACTATGGCCTGCGTGAGCCTTTTGGGCTCAAACCATTCCGCATCTCTTTTGTCAAAGCCCAATGACTTGAACATCAATGCGCATATCTTTTCTGCCAGGCCCTTCATTTCTTCTTGGTAGTCATCAATAACAGTGCTGAAACAACCAAAACATAATAAATTAATTACCAATTTACCATGATATCCAAGGGGATGTACTTACTGAGTAATACTATATTTTCACTTCTGTCCCATTTGTTTCATCTGATCATTTTGCTTCGTTCCAACTTTTTATCCCTTGTCATTTTATATAGTTCAAATTCATTAATAATTCACCTCGGTTCCTTTGACATTGCTAAACAATGTCATGGGATGACCTGGAGGCCGTAACGATGTTTCGTTCGTAAAATTAACGGTTTTTATAACAAAAAGGTATGAGTAGGGGTGAGATAATGATGAGATTTGGGATATAGTGGAGTGCACAAGGTTAGAATTGCCATTTTGTTATGGAAAACATTTCAAAATGGAATGAGGTAATTCTTTTTTAGACAAATAAAAATGGAAAAATAATAAAATAGTATGTAGGTCACACATATTTTAGAATATACTCCCTCCGTCCCATGAAATCTTTCTTCTTTCTTTTTTTATCCGTTCCACAAAACACTTCTCATTTCTATTAAAAAATCACTTTTACCTCTTACTTTTTCATATCCTAACTATCACATCATACATTTTTACTAATAATCTATCCATCAAATCATACTTTTACCCATCACATCAAAGGACATTTTTGGAAATTCAATATCAAAATACACTCCCCTTAAATCCCTCCTAAAAAGCAAAAGTTCCATGTTAATAAAAGTCTAAAGAACTAAACTACTGTTTCTAAGCTAAAATGGGTTTTAGCTTTCAATTTTTTTTTTGCTCTAAAAAGGGCTCTAAGGCAATTCTGTTCGGTAGTGTTTCTAACCTTATGGGGCACTTGACGACAAATTAATTAGGAGCCTCTCCAATAGGATGTCATGTGCGATATATCATAGCCAAAAATAATACCCCTTCCATCCCTAATTTTATTGAAAATTGGAAATTACGAGGTAAAATATTACGATTTTTAAAATTATTTTATTTACAAACTGGTATATTAAAAAAATAAAAATCACATATTAAAATACTATGTCAAAAGTTCTACAAAATGAGATATGACAAGAATATTTTAATTATCAAATACACCGTATTTAGTAAAAGTATAAAAAATAAACAAAAATTACGAGAGGAGGGAGAAAAAACAATTGTAATATTGTAATCTATTTTGAGACAGAGGAAGTACATAGTAATATTTGGTCAGTACTCCCTCCGTCCCAACTTATATTTCCTGTTTCGGTTCATGATTTTTTACTGAAATTATTTTCAAATCATTTTATATGAAAAATGGTATAGAATTAAAAAATAAAATTACATATTAAAATATTACATCAAAAGATCTAAAAAATTGATGGTGACATGACGATTTTATTTTATCAAATGACTACCGAAAAAAAAAAGTGAATGAAATTTGACAATGAGAATAATAAACAAACAATTTCATTTGGGACGAAGAGAGTAAAATATTTGTGACCTGAATGAGGTTGATTTTTTTACCCTAAAATAAATATTGAAAGGTTAATACCTAGAACATATAAAGGGAAAGCGGGTCTGAGTGTGAGTGAACCTTATAGCGTCAATTTAAAAAAATAAAAATATATCTCGATGTATACTTCAAAATTATCCATATTTTAAATAATATTACTAATACTCGTTTCAAGCAATATACATATCATACATACTATCATTATATTAATTAATTTTAAAACTCTAAATTTGTATTCTTTTTAATTGTCAACTTATAAACTGATCTTGCATATATAATTTAAGTACAGAACATATGGAGTATATCATATGTTGACAGTTTGAAACTACTGAAATGATCATAGACATTTATTAGATATAAAACAAGTGAGATCATTTCAAGAGAGTTCTAATTAGAAAATTTTCTTAAAATTTAAGGAAAACAAATTACAATATATGAAATTCTAATTAAACTTGAAAAAATATAAAAAGAAAACCAAATTCTTATAGAAAATGTAAAATAAAAAAAACAAAATCTAGTTTCTTACTATATATATATTTAAAAAAAACATGTACTTCTAAAGAAATATTTATAGAATAGTGCACTAGCCTTATGATGTTGATCAGCAATTAAATAAAAATTATATATTAACACTTAAATTTTTTTAATTCGCTAAATAGTATTTATTAATGTCTAGTGGTAGGAACAATGTCCAGTGATGGTGAACATTTAGTTTGGATAATGTCCAGTGGCAGTAGACATTACTTCAACAATGACCAGTGGACATTGAACAGTGGTACTACAATAAGAAATAAAAACATATGGTACTACATTGAGAAGATCATTATATTTTAATGTTGCTTAGGTAAATCTTCCTAAAAATTATACTCTATGTTGAATATTAGTACAAAAATGATTTAATCGGACTTATTTTATTAAAAATTAAAGTGTAAATTCCTAATATGGTCCATTGTAATAAGGCGTTTCCCAATTAAGTCTTCATGCCAATAAGTTTTAATTACCTACATGGTCATCGCTATCATTGCGATTTATTCCCAAGATAGTCTTTCGTAAATAATGTTACTCAAATGATGATTAATTGAGAGATATTTTGGTATTTTGACCATTCAAATTTAAAGTATATTTCGAAACAGTCATTTCTGTACAACTAAATGTAAAATTTAAAAAGACATTGACTATAAATATTCATAAATTATTTAAAACTTATAAAAAAATCTTTTAAATTTCAAATCAAATACACATCTTGAACTAGAAAAAACCATTTTGAGAAAGCACTTCATTACAAATAATCATTTTAAGAATTAATTCTAAATTTAGCGGATAAAAAAATATCAAAATACCTTCAATTAATCCTCATTTGAATAACATTATTTACGAAGGACCATCTTGGGAATAAATCTCAATTACAGAAGACCACGTAGGTAATTAAAATTTATTGAGGACTGATTTGAGAAATACCTCACTACAAAGGACTATTTTGGAAATTTTACTCAAAATTAAACTATCAAAAAACAGTAACAAGTGGCAATACATGTTTGTTAAAAAATCGTGACTCGGGGCCTTGACAAAGTAGAGTACAAAATGAAATGACAGTTGCATGCAACACAGACATATACATACATACCAGAAGGTGGAATAATCTCGAGGCCAAACGCGGCGTGCATGTTCCACCGGCGACCCGGCGATCGTCAATCCTTCCGACCACATCATCTTGCTAAAGAACCGCGATATGGGGGCCACCCCGTACCCGGACGACGACGGGCCCTCCGGCGACCTCAGAGCCCGGAGCTTCTTCTCCCGCGGCGAGGCGAAGAACCGCCTCGCCTGCTGCTCGATTCGGTCAAGCACCGCGGCGGGGACGCCGTGGTTGGTGACTTGGAACACGCCCCAGTTCTCACAAGCCGTCCCGACGTGGCTCGTGGCTCTGGGGTCGTCAAGATCAACCACGGGGATCGATTTTTCGCCGCCGGAAGGAGAAGGAGGAGGTGGTGGTGGTGGTGGTGAGGAGTTGTTAATAGTAATGGATTGGAATAATGGCCAGTTGTGGGAATCTGGGAGGTCAATGGCATTGTTGAAATCTATGGGGATGAGATGATCAATGGCTAGCTGTGTGTTAATGGCTTTTGAGGCTTGCATTTCAGCTGGCTGTTGATACATATTACGGAGTATATTATATATATGTATATATATATATATATATATATATATATGTTCTCAATATAAATAGACCAAGAGATGAGACTTGAGAGAAAGAATTTTTGCAATGAATTTAATTAATTAATTAATAAAGCCATATATGCATGTAAAAAGAGTAGTTGAGAACAAACTGGCCTGGAGATGGATGAGTTTCTCATGACTACCACTTATTATCACAAGTGTTATGTGCCATTTGGATATATATGGATGGGTTAAAAATATGTGCAGCTTAGTTTGCGTTTTGTTTGCACTCGCATGCATAAAGGCAGACTCTGAACTGCATCTTTTTGTGTGTTTTGTGTCTCTCATATTTAAAGTTCCCTTCATTTCATATAGGGAGTATTATATTACTCTCTCTCTCACTCAGTATTTGCCTACTTTTAATTCCGTCAATCGTTTTTAACCTTTGACCTATAATTAAATAAAATATACGTAGTATATTATATATTAATTAGATAAAATAATATTTTGAAACTATTTTATACTCCCTGCATCCCACAAAATATTCCTTGTTATGATTTTTAAGGGATTGAAGAGGAGTGTATTTTAGTGTTGACTTTCCAAAAATGTCATTGGATGTGATAGGTAAAATTAGATGTGGTAGGTAGGTTAGTAGTGAAAAAATGTAATGTCATATATAGGTTAAGATTTAGAAATATTTGCACTAAAATTTAAGTCATTTCCTAAATAGCATTTAAACTGTTTTATTCTCTAAATAGCACTTAATAATGTCCATAATGTCGAGTGATGACGAACATTTACTTGAATAATGACTAATGGATAATGACTAAAAGTGCCATATTGGAAAAAATACATGTGATGCTATTTAGGAAAAGTCATTATGTTTTAGTGCTATTTACGTAAATTCTCCAAAGATTTAGTAGGGGTAAAATTATAAAGTAACTTTTTAAAAAAATGAGAATTTTTTTTTGGGATAAACGAAAAAAGAAAGAAGAAAGATTTTGTAGGACGGAGAGAGTATAATAAATCTAAAAAACCATGTTCGTATCAATCTCTAATATCATTTTTATTTAATTGGGGTTTGACAAAAGAGTTAAAAGTGGATAAATACTCTGGGACGGAGGAAGTACTTCCTATTTTCAAATATGTTTGTCGAGTTTGACTTTTTTTGCCATTAAATTCAATGAAATTTAGTTATCAATTAAATAAATATTACATGGTACGTATATTTTAAAATAAAATAACTTTTTAAAAATAATTTACAAGATAAATATGATTGAATCACTTTTAATTTGTGTAAATATATAATATTTTTTGATGATCAAAGTTTATTTATTTTCACAAAAATAAATTAAATAAATTGGACAAACACATTCTTTTATTGTTCTTTTAATTTTTTTGAGAAATAAAATGTACTCCCTCCGTTCCTTTAAATCCTTTCACCTTTGACTTTGGGCAAAAATAAGGAAAGTGTAATTTTGGTTGACTTTCCAATTTTGCCTCTGATGTGATGGGTAAAAGTAAGATGTGATAATTTGGTTATTAGTGAAAAAATATTATGTGATAGGTAGGGTATGAAAAAGTAAGGGTAAAAGTGGGTTTTTAATAGAAAGTGAAAGTGTTTTAGAGAATTCAAAAAAAAACGAAAGGGGAAGGGTTTTATGGAACGGAGGGAGTATATTGTAAAATACGTTAATTATATTGTTCTTTTTTTAGATAATCGAATTAAAGAGTTATTATTAGTAAGTTTAGAAGGCAAACTAATTAGAATGACATATACTCCCTACCTCACAATAGATTTTTTATAGTATTTGTTAATTTTATCCATTCCATGGAATTCCTTGCATTTTTATTTTATTTAGCATAAATGAATAAACAAAATTTTCATCTTTTACCATTTTATGGGTCATGCATGTACTAGGGACACCTCCCACGCACTCTTTGGACCATAGTGTGAATCATGTTATCCATATCCCGACCCTGTTTTTCAACTTGCGTCGGATTAATCTTAGAATACACAAACGAGCACATAACTTCTCTCTTGAAAAAGTTAAAGCAATGACATTAGACTACAAGGTCTTTGGCTTGATATGAAGTACGTGCTCATTGGCTTGAGATATTAGTAAGAGAACATGTCAAGGAACCAACTCAACCAAAAGCTCAAGCTTTTGGTTGTGGCCCAAGAAGAGTTATTTATATTCTAACACGCCCCCTCACGTGCATGCGTAGTCTTTTTCGAGCCTTGCACGTGAAACTTTTAATTTTCTTAAAACTGGGTGGCGCTGAGTTTCGAATCCGTGACCTCTTAGTCAATAAGGCTCCGATACCATGTCAAGGAACCAACTCAACCAAGAAGAGTTATTTATATTCTAACAACATATTATTTATGTTGCCTATATTTTTTTAGTGTAAAATTAATTTGATCATATTTTACTATGCGTAAATTACTTTTAATTTGGACTACCAAAAACTGAAAATACTTTGTCTTATAACTTTATTCGTGAATGCTAATAACTCTATTACAAGATAGTATCTTTCCATACAGTTGAAGTCCATAGAGTTATTGTTCTCACCAGGAATTGAACACATAACCTCTCTCTTGAAAAAGTTAAAGCAATTACATTAGACTACAAGGTCTTTGGCTTGATATGATGTACGTGCTCGTTGGCTTGATATATTAGTAAGAGAACATATTATTTATGTTGCCTATATTTTTTTAGTGTAAAATTAATTTGATCATATTTTACTATGCTAAATTACTTTTGGAGTACCAAAAACTGAAAATACTTTGTCTTATAACATTGTATTTGTAGGCAATTGGTTTTCCATTTTTGTGCTTTTAGATAGCATTTGAGACTAAGTTTGACTTTTTGGCAACAAACCCTAAGTTACTTAAACACGTAAATTTTCTTTTAAAATGTTTTCCTTATTTTCTTTTGCTTTTAAAGTTAAAGTAAACACACAAATATAAGTAGGCATTTCTTTCAAACTCCTTGGTACTTTCTAGGATCCAAACATACCCTTACAATTCAATGATACCTTCTAAATTCAGGGACTATATTTCATCCTATATTAGAACCATTAGATTGTTGACATTGAATTTAAGTGGCCGAAGTAATGTATGAATAAATTAATATATCTCTCTCACCTGTTGTTAAAATTCCGGTGGGCCGAGAACAACGGATAGAGTGTCGGGTAAAATTAACCACTTGCATATAAAGTCGGGATCCACAATTCTAACCCAAAAGCTTAAGCTGATAGGTAGGGCTTCACCCTTCAATATATGCAAGTGATACTCATCTTTATTTTCCGATGTGGGAACTCCAACACTCTCCCGCAAGTGGTAACTAGCCTGGCCTAGTTAGCACTTGGACAAACAGGTCTAGCATCTCAATCTCTTATAGCTAGCCCACACAACTGGCAGTGGCATCTCAATCTCTTTTTAGCCAACTCAGCCCAAACCACATACGGGTAGCTCATTTTTGCTAAACCCACATCTAAACAACCAGGAACAATCAAACCCAGACCGGACCTGCTCCGATACCATGTTAAAATTCCGGTGGGCCGAGAACAACGGATAGAGTGTCGGGTAAAATTAACCACTTGCATATAAAGTCGGGATCCACAATTCTAACCCTTTTAAGTTGATAGGTAGTGCTTCACCCTTCAATATATGCAAGTGGTACTCATCTTTATTTTCCGATGCTCCAACACCTGTTCATATTCCCTCATCAAAACATCTTTAGTGCGATGTGAATCCAATATTTTGGTCTAAGCAAAGTATTGAGTAGAACAGCCATGAAAATAAAAACATGTAGGGAAGTACAATTATGTACAGTATCATTTCAATTAATGCTGAAAATTGGCATTGTCTTTTACTTGCTTTGACATTTTAATGGTTTAGTAAGTGTTTTTATTCAATTCTCTTCTCCGACCTTTGATAGTTTATTATCTACTTGATATTTGATGCAATTATATTATTCATTAAATTCAAGAAGTGTTAATTTGATGTTTTAAATAATTCAAGTTATTTTTGACAAACAAACTAGAAGACGCAGAAGATTTGGGTCCGTGACAATGTCCATAGTAGAGGAAGCTGAAGCAAATGTTGAACAACTGATGAATGTGTGTGTGAGCCTCTTTCACTTATAACATTCATTTGGGCATGTATAACATTTAATGGTGGTAGTTTAATTTATTTTATGAGCAGTTGGTTTTAAACAAGTAGTGGTTTCCAATTTTAGTTTTGATGAGTATATTTTATTCAGTATAAAAAGATTTTTGAAATATTTGTTGTTTGAACTAGAGGAACCATTGCAGGTTTATACTGCCTATATAAAGAAGGTAAGATTATTAACGTGAGATTGGACCTTTGAGCAATTGGTGGTGTCATATCCACACCCTTACTATGAACATAAATCATTTGTAGAACTTAGTAAAGAGTTCTATTTGCTAAAAATTGGCATTCTTTTAGTTGTTCTGACACTTTTATGGTTTATTTAGTATTTATTTTAAATTTTCTTCATTGACCTTTGATAGTTTAACATCTACCAATATTTGATGCAGTTTTTTTATGGATTAAAATCAAGAAGGGATAATTTGAAATTTTAAACAATTCAAGTTATATTTGACAAGCACACTTGAAGAAGTAGAGGATTTGAGTATGTGACAATGTCCAAAGTAGAGGAAGCTGGTGTTGATAGGGGATGTTCAACAACTCGATATGTATGCGAGCGTCTTTCACTTATAACAATCATTCTAGCATGCATAACACTTAATGATGGCATTTTACTTATGAGCATTAGGTTGAAAATAAGTAGTGGTTTTCAATTTAAGTTTTGATGAGTTTAATTTACTGAGTATAATGAATGGCATGAAGAAAGAGCTAATTTTACATATCTAAGGTATGGATGGTTTGCCTATCTTTTCCACAGGTTTTTTTTTATTTTTCATGTTTCAAATTACTGTCAATTTATGTCACCGATGTTGACTTATGTCATCGTTTTAGATTCTCATCAATTATAGAAAAATTTTGCTCAATTGGAAGAAAATGGTGGCAAAGTTGGGCATGTTGGCTCCTATTGAGGAAATACGCATCTCTTCTTATGTCTTTAGTTATACATTCTAATTATACTACAATCCCTGCTAGGAAACAATCGAATTCGAAAGAATGGAAAAGTAAAAGGGAGTCCTACAACTGAAAATATAGACAACATAATAGAGTTCCTAGCAGTTTGCCAAGAACCATTCACTCACACAGAGGACATACCACTACAAGAAAATTGCTGATCTGCAACGGAAAAGTTTCGTGGCAGAATCTAAAATTCCGTGGCAGATTTCTATTCTGCGATGGATCTGCTACGAAATTTTTCCGTCGCAGAAAAGTTGTGGCAAATTTAATATTTGCGACGGAATTTACAATCTGTGGTAGATCTGCGACGGACCTGAAACGGGATTTTCATTTTTTCATCAAACAAATCTGCGACGGACACAGCAACGGAACCATCCATCGCAGATCAGCGACAGAAATGGCAACGGCCCTTTCCGTGGCAGATGACTTGTTGACAGAACCAAAATTTTCCTGTTTTTGGCACTAGCTATTAAAATGGGGGGGGGGGGGCAAAACACATTCAATCTTCACACACATAATTCTAAACTAGATTTCAACACCCAAATTGATAATTCAAAGCTAAATTAATGCAAACTTCAAGTGCGAATGTAACATAATTCATTATGTTCTAACAATAAATATTAAAGTGTTAGTGTCAAGTGTTCAAAATGGTGGAAGCTAAGGTTGTAAAGGTCTCAACAAATCCCGGGCTACCCTGCCCCTCCCGTTCCATCATTATCGCCTCGTCTAGGAAGGTTACCACCATATAGCTTCCTTATCTCCTCCTGAATCGTCAGCGACAAGTTCGAGGTTAGACTATCAATTTGTTCCTGCAGCCTTTGGTTTTTCTCTTTAAGTGCTGCCATCTCTGTTATGCTTCTACTACTCGTGCTGGAACGGCGAGGTTTGGAGGACGGGTTCATCTTCCTCATTTCACGCTCGTAGCCACCAACTCCAGGAACGCGGTTCTTCGCGTTATGGCCATCAACTAGCGAGTACCATATTTCTTGGTCGGTGACTTGCAGCCCTTTCTGTCTAGCCTCCTCGCGCAGTTCGAAGAATTGAGCCTGAAATACATGATAGTTAATAACACACAACAACAACAACGCAATAATAATAACGTCAAGAACAACAAGAAAAACAACAAAAACAAGAACAACAACACAAGAACTTAACAACTAACATTACCATGGATCAATAACAACGTAACATATACCTATTGTTGACAGCACCATCAACGCAACAACAAAAACAAGTTTTCATAGGACAACAACACCATCAACGCAACAACAAAAATAGTGTCATACAACAACAACACCACCATCAACGCAACAACAATAATAACAACACGATTAACAATAACATCAACAACAAGAATAACGTCAACAAGAATAATATAATTCATGTACACAAGCTGATACGAGATTTATTATTATTATTATTATTAATGGTTAGTGGTTATTATTATTATATTAGGTAGTATCATTATTTATGGTTAGTTAATTATATTATTATTAGAAAGTAGTATAGTATTGTTAGGATATTTGTTACCATTTATAATTAGGATTCCTAAATTATTTAGTTTCCTTCTATGGTAAGAATTCTTTAGATGTCGTAGCTATAAATGTATCCATTTCAATGAATTATTAATCAATGAATAAAGAAATTATCCTTTCCTAACCCTAAATGTTCTTCTCTCTTACCCCTTGGCTTTTGGCCGTTTCTCCCCCTCCCTCTTGATCTTGTCTTCTTCATCTTCTTCTCTACACTCTCCACTTTATCTAATTTCCTAATTTTTCCCCTTCATCTCATACATTCTCGTATCAATTGGTGCTTTCATTCTTGAACTCATTCAAAAAAAATTGTACAAAAAAAAAATCAGCCACAAAATTCAATTCAATTTTTGTGTGGTAGTGTCTCTTTTGGCAATGGATTCTCTGTTGGACAAAGTTCTTGGTTTACTCGAGAAAGTTCTACGGGGACAAATTGAATTTTATGAAGGCATGTGTGCAGTTGAAGATTCCGTGGATGAAATTATAAAGAAACTTCAGGCATTCCGTCAATTTGAAGGTCAACCAAAATATGATTCCGAGGTATATGCGTTCGCCGTAGACGTCTCTTGCTCAATCCGGGATTTAGTTCATGGTCCCCCAATTTTACCAAGTTTGATCCCGATATAGTTACACTTGTTCAAAAAAAATGTGATGAGCGTGATAAATAAACTCATCGGTGCTCCACTTTCTTCACCAAATCTAGCTCCTAAGGTTGGGGACCTGATTGTTCAGATCATGGAAGACACAGCCGCACACACTAGTCCTCTTGTGGAAAATTTAAGCAATGAACCACATGTCGAAGATGACATGAAAAGTGGGTCCAATGTCCTGGGTACCAATAAGTTACTCACGATGGAGGAAATTGTTTTTCATCCGGTAGGTATTTCTGATGATGCTTTTGTTATTGTTACTGATCCTGTTCCTACAGACGATGTTGATGAGGATGCACACCACCAAGACCGCGAGAAAGTTTTTGGGGGCAATCTGATTGTTTATGGATGCACAGAAAGCTTTGAAATGTCTGATGTTGAGGTTATTGTTATTTGTAAATTAGGAAGTATTGCACCAGGTTGCATTCTTTTCACTGAGTTGGTCGCATGCAATTATTTAACTAGTCTTGGAAATGTTGTAGGTCCAACACATTCTTTTGATGCTCCAATAATGAAGGTCTTTGACCCCGGAGGATGGACTATGAATGACACACTTTTTTCCCCGTTCTTTGGTAAATTTCCAACTTGAGGACAAGTTGGTTTTTGAGGCGGGGAGAGTGATACGGGATTTATTATTATTATTAATGGTTAGTGGTTATTATTATTATATTAGGTAGTATCATTATTTGTGGTTAGTTAATTATATTATTATTAGAAAGTAGTATAGTATTGTTAGGATATTTGTTACCATTTATAATTAGGATTCCTAGATTATTTAGTTTCCTTCTATGGTAAGAATTCTTTAGATGTCGTAGCTATAAATGTATCCATTTCAATGAATTATTAATCAATGAATAAAGAAATTATCCTTTCCTAACCCTAAATGTTCTTCTCTCTTACTCCTTGGCTTTTGGCCGTTTCTCCCCC